CTTCTTTATCCTGAGAGTTAACTTTCTTGTGAGATCCAGCAAAGCAGATTTTAAAAGTCTGTATAATCAATTGCCATTCCTGTTGTATTTATGCAAACAATCAGGCCAAACTGGAACTCAACTTAATACAGTAAATAAATTAGTCTGTTTTGGCTCTTTGATGAAAATGAGGGTAATCTGAGGGAGAAAAATTGTATTTCAATGGAAAGCATAATACCCAATTGTAGGTAATGAACTCCAGTGCAGTTAACGGTCTTCAAAGTTTTGTTTTAAGGTTGTGCCTGTGTATGTCATACAGACCTCAGCACCTGGTGACATCACCAGAGATGATCTAACTGCAATCTATCAGATTGTCACTGTGATTTCATTCCGACAGAAGCCTTACATCTGGAAATATCAACTGATTTATGATTTACTATATTCATTAACCCTTATGTTTTGTGTTCTTCTGTTTCATAGAATGTATGCTAATGTCCCTGCTTTACTAACTGATTATACGAACAGTATGGGCCTCACTGTAGAAGCCATCTGCATCACTGTGTCCTAAAAATAAGACTCAATGATTTGGACTCAAAATTAAGTCAATGAAACATGAATGGTCTATCAGCTTCACTTAAAATCGCTTTCCCCTCTTTGACTTCCTTCTTCACTTGTCAGACAGGGAGGACTTCAGAACTCCCTCCCTCCGCCACCCATCAGCAGGAAGTAGTAAAGAGACCCGATGTCCCTTTTCCCTCAAAGAATTCTGAGCCAAAATCCATAAGTGGAAAATTTAATAGGCCAGGACTGATATAGTTCAACAAGACATTTTCCATATAAAACTAATCTCATAGATATGAGATGATAACACTAACAGAGAGGAAATGAGAGTGAGGAAGGACATGTAATGAGAATAGAGCCACAGTTGTCTAATAATTATTCACCTCACTAATAATTATTAACTATAGATAAGAAGTTTTCTTACAGACCCTGGGAAAATGGAGGACAAAACAAGGCAGTAAAAAGATAAGATGTCTCAAAAGGGCCATTACTCTAAAAAGAAATATATTTTTTGAGCACAGACCAAGGACAGGACACGCTTTGGTTTGGTTGCTGCATCTGGACCCTGACTCCCTCCAAGAGTTTTTCTCAGGAACGCTGAACATTCTCTGGTCCCAGGAAGGGTCTGAGCTGTTTGTAACATCATAGATGATTTGCCACCTTTTTATCGGACTCTGAGCTCCTGAAGGCAGGATTGCAGACTCTATCCTCCCTTTTCCATGTTACACTTGCAGCTTGCAGCTGCGTGTAGCTATTTTCTCCTTCATGTGTATATAACCAGCTAATTGGCAAGAGGAGCAGTCAGAGCAGATTTTGTGGGCAACCTACTGCTCTCCCATACTGCTGGCATTATTGGAATAAACGCTCATATATGATTCAACCCTGTCTCTGCTTAATTGGCTCTCAAGTGGTGACAGGCAGCCCAGACCTCTTGGTTGTCCGGTTACAACAATAGTAATGAGATATATTTGAAGGTAAATATATATGGCATTTCAATAAATCAAATAAAAGTAACTAAGTATAGTTAGTCTAATGTTGTTTAACTTTTTTGCATTCAGAAAATTCATGTGCTATCATTTTTATAAGAAATTAAAGCTACTCATTTACATGAAAAACAATTTATAAATAAGGTTAGATTTTCATATTTTATTGTGAATCTGATTAAAATATGAATACATTTCTGTAAAAGATTTTATTTCATTTTTTTAAATATATTTTTTTATTGATTTTGTACAGAGAGGAAGGGAGAGAGATAGAGTTAGAAACATTGATGAGAGAGAGTCATCGATCAGCTGCCTCTTGCACACCCCCCACTGGGGATGTGCCCGCAACCAAGGTACATGCCCTTGACCGGAATCGAACCCAGGACCTTTCAGTCCCCAAGCCGATGCTCTATCCACTGAGCCAAACCGATCTTGGCTGTAAAAGATTTTAAAATAAAGTAATGTCTTTCTTAGATTAGCTTTACTTTGAGAAATGCAGTGGTTTTATTTTGGCAACATGGACATTAAATTGTATTTACTAGAGTAGTACATGACAGTGGCCAGGGAGTCTGAAAGAGTTAATGTGACACTCCTACAGTGACTTACTTATTCATATAACCTGACCAAATTTAACTTCTTGCTCACATAATCTGGCCAATATGTTGAAACATTTTTTACTTAGTTTCAGGGGCTTTTGTAAAAAACATACTACTACTCAAAATTACTCTTGGCAACTAGAAGTGATAACTGAGTGACACATACACACGCACACACACACACTTTTAATAAATATACTGAATAACAGCACCATAAATAATTTACATATAATACAAAGAAATCCCATGGCTCAGTTATTTATATGTGTTAAGCAAAAATTGCACAAAGCTCTCTGTTTCATAACACAGCAAAGAAAAAGAAACCTTGCCTAAGTGATAATTTGATATAAATCTCTAGAGTAGCATATTTTAATATTTAATGAGCTATAAATCCATATTTATTTCAATAATTTATCTTATGAATAACCTTTTGAATTATCAGAAGGTAATTAAGAGAACTTTTACTTTTGAAAGAAAGACACTTCATAGAAATCAACATTTTTTATTAGATTATTACAGTTTAATGCTTCAATGATATTTTAATCATGAAAATACTGGACATTCTGAGTAATGGTTTATACTTAACTTAGAGAGTAGTATCTCAACTTTATAATTATTTTTACATTTTAGGAAATAATAGTTCAATTTTGTTCAAGTGTCCCAACACTGACATCTTCTGACTACTGAGCAGAACTACAGATCTCAAAATATTTCCCAGTGACTGAAGCTTATCTTTATATCTTTGTATCAATCCATCATTAAGTATGGAAGAACTTAGCATTTGTTGAATAATGATTATGTAATGGACACTTCAAAGATTATTTCATTTAATCTCTTAGCAACTTATAAAAATAGCAATATTATAGGAGGTATGTTTAAGCCATAAAAAAATAAAATACTTATAAAAAAATGATGATATTAATCAAATTATTGTCACCTCTCATCTATAGTTAGTGAGGTGAATAAAGACTATTAAGACTTTATTGAGAAGTTCACCTGTATAATATTTTTAAAATAATAAAATGCATTGATTTGAAAGTGTTTATTCATTTGCTATTAGGCTACCTACATTAAGTAAACAGTCAGCATAGCATACACTATGGGTTCAAATCATGACTTAGATGCTTATTAGCTAAGTGACTAGAACATCGCCTCTCTGTGTCTTAATTTCCCCATCTGTAAAATAAAACTGATAATTATCTTATTTAATAGGGTTGTTACAAAGATTACATAAGTCGATATTTTAAAATACTTAGTTCTGGCACTTAAGTGTTTTGATAAATAGACTTTGTATGCTTTTATTATACCAATAGATTCAATATAGTAAAATCTCTTTTATTAGTTAGAAATACTAAAATTTGCTGCACATCATCAGTCATTCATTAATTCTTATCTATTACATTTTATTGAATGCCTCTGTTCAAAGCTCCATAAACTAAAAGAAATGACTTTAAAATAAATGCCAATATATAAATATAACTACAGATCTGTAAAAGGTTGGGATAAATAGATTTCACCATTACTGACCAGGGTTCTGCTTAGAATGTCTTTCCCTCTTCCCTACGTATTATTTCTTCATTATTTCTCGTATTGACCAGGTAACATGAAGCTCATTAAAAATATTCAGTAATTATTTGCTGAAGGATGAAATTCATCAGAGACTTTCTAAGACTTATAACATTTTTGTTTTGGTCATATGATACTACTTCCAAATATATGTTATAACCCTATATAAAGAAACAAATCAATGTGCATAAAGACGTACTGGTAGCAAACAAAAAAACATGAAATATATTCCTATTTATTAGTGAGACAAACTTCAAGTGACCTATAATTTACCTTAGAACTATGTACTCTGATATAATAATTATTATTATTTTTAAAATATTTTATTGACTTCAGATAGGAAGGGAGAGTCAGAGAAAGATAGAAACATCAATGATTAGCAAATAAATCATTGATCAGCTGCCTTCTGTACAACCCCTACTAGGGATTGAGTCCACAACCTGCATGAGCCCTGACCTGGAATTGAACCTTGACCTCCTGGTTTATAGGTTAATGATCAACCACTGAGCCATACCAGCTAGGCAATTATTATTATTATTATTAAATAAAGATTAGGCTTTGAGAAACAGAAAAGGTAAACAAAGACAACATAATTTGTTATTCATGGGTGAGAAGCTTGTTTGCACTATTCATTTGATTCAGAAATTTCAATAATGGGTTCTAACTTGAACTAAAGATTATAACAATTCCAATGACTGGCATCTGCAAATTAGCAAACCTAAAACAAAAATAGATAATATGACAATATTTACAAATGTCTATCATTAACACCATGCTAACTAAAAATTTGGGATAATCAAGATAGTCTGAGCTTTGAATTTAGTTAAAGGACCACCTTAAGATATCTACTAATATAATAAGAAGAAAAGAAAATGGCAGGGGAAATACTGCTAATCATATTTTAGATCACATAAATAGCATGTATTTACATAGAAACAATTAAGTACTAATTGCAAATACATGCCGACTATTTATTGAAACAAATCCAATAACTGATCTTCTTGGGGCAATTATTTTTAAAACATTACTACATATTTCTACAACCAGCAGTGTAGCAAACATTACATCTTTCTTGTAAAGAATTTGGAAAACCACAATTCAGATTGAGCTACTCATTCTTAATTATTTTTAATTACTAAAATATTATGGATATAACTGAATTATGTTATCTGTATCACATACATGTAGGAAATTAAGATAAAATAACACATTTACTGAATTGTAACTAGAGTTATATTCTACCTTATTAGCATAAAACAAAACTGATAAAATCAAAACTAATTATTAAGTAAATTTTACAACTTTAATAAAGTACCTTGAAATATTCTTTTCTAATCTGTTTGCTCCGCCTCCTTTCTTCACTCTGCCAGATTATAGGTTGAGATTCTGGCCACTGTTGTTCATCTGTTTGATCCTTCTGATTATCTAAGGGCTATAATAAGATAATTGCTTTTAACTAAATAAATGAGAACAAAATAATAGATATTATAATAATTTAATTTCCTCTTACCTGCCATGTGAGTGGTGATAATGGTGAATTAACTTCATCTACTGAGACACTAAAAAATTAAAGATGACTTAATATGTTAAAATATTTAGAATTACTTGTAGGTATACATTATGAATATGATATTATACACAGGATCTTAGTCAAAAGGCTAAGAAGTAATGATCATGATTTTATAAAATTGTCGTTTTCTTTTCTACCAGAAATCTGAAGAATTTACTCATGCCAGTGCTTTGAACTAATAATATAAAACTTAAAGTTGACAAAAACACATTTTCTTCCCCAATCAATTATAAACCTTAAAAAAAAATCAAAATGGTCCTATTTAATGTCACCCTAAGTACAGGACAATTCTAAAAACTTTTCAGAGGCCAAAAGAAATATAATATCTAGAGACATAAAAAGAACATATGATATATATTATATCAAAATTATTACCCAAAATTACAAAAAGAAAACCAAGTAATTTTTTTTGCTTATTGAATTACTGATTATGAGCCTATAACATTTCATTCTGATACATAAGGCAATGGTAGACATTCTTTTTATCTAGTTTATTTGTGGAGTAAGGTAAACTTTAGGCAATTGCTAGATAACAGATTTGAACAAGGAGTTCCTTTAGAAAAAATACACAAACAAATGCCTACTAGTATTATTCAACACTGTTATGAAACTTCTGTAGAGTACAGTAAAAAAAGAACATTTAAAAATTAAAAATTTCCAAAATTTATAGAAAATGTATTGCCTAAGGGGGAAAAACAAAAACAAAAAGTCTATTATTAACAGAAGTTATAGAAAAATATATAAATGTTAAGAGCTTTCCTATATGTTAACTATAACAAGTTATAATATATATTAGAAAACACATCATTTATAAAGGAAAGGAAAAGTAGAAGATACCTAGGGAAAAATCTTAACTAGACATGCACAAGGCCTACTTGGAAAAATTACAATTGTCTAGTAAGGAACTTGAGTGACTGGAAAGTTCTTGGACAGAAAGATTAAATATTATAGCTATAACCTTTCCTTCAAACTGATAGCTGAAATGAACTACAATAATAATTTTTTAAAATGCAAGAAGTATTTTTGGGCTTGTTTTGGAAATTTAATAAGAGTTACACAATTAATTTGGAAGAATGGATGACCAAGAAAATTTACATAATAAAGGGACTTACCTACTAGGAAATTACATATATCCTATTAAGTTACAGAAATACATTAGTACTAGTTTTAGCATCTATAGATTTTTCAGTGGAACAGGCATAGAGGACCACAACTAGAACAACTTATGATAAAAGTGAAATTTAAAAGCATTGTGGAAATGATAGAATATGCAACAAATAGGGATGAGACAACTGGTTAACCAATGATAAAATATAGAAATAAAAAAGAAAAGGGGGAAGGAGAAAAGGGAGAAAAAGAAGAGAAGAAGTGAGGGAGAAAGGAAAAAAACTAGATTTCTAACATCCTATCAAATGGACTGAAAGATCTATATATAACTAAAGTTAAAATGACATAAATATTTGAAAATTTTTTAAATATTTGAATGGAGAAGGCATATGGGAAAAACAATCAAAACTAAATACTGAGAAATTACTAAATACTGGCCAAATAAATGCAAAATGATTTTGTATTTATTTGTCCAACATAGAATTAACAGTGAACAGATTTATACCCTGACTAAAAACAATAAAAGAACAAACAAAATATATAAAATTATACTTTGCAAAACATTAAATATTAGGACAAAAAAAGAGACAAATATCCCTTAGACATTGGTAACAAACAAGAAAAGCCTCAATTAACTCAGATTATTGCAGGAAAGAGAATTTCCATGCCACAGGCCAAAGTGGAGGAACCAAGGTGGGGCCCATGGGGCTCCCTGAATTGAGGAAGCAAAGCTAGGAGCCAGGGAGAAAGGGTAGATGGAGTTAACAGGACAAAGTAACAAAGACAAGAACAATACACAGAGAAAAAACTAAGAGCTCTACAGAGGCATCTAAACTTGGGTATGAAAAATCATCTAACCCTTAAACTGAATTCTGAAAGCCTAAGTAAAAAAGGGAAGAAGAAAGGACAATCCCTGCAGAGAGACGAGGATACAAAACATATGTGAAACTGCTAGAATAAAGAAAAGAGTATCGCCTGGCCAGTGTGGCTCCATGGTTGAACATCAACTTATAAACCAGAAGGTCATAGTTAGATTCCTAGTCAGGGAACATGCTTGAGTTACAGGCTCGATCCCCAGTAGGGGGCGTGAAGGAGGCAGCCAATCAATAATCAATTGATGTTTCTATCTCTCTCTTCCTCTCCCTTCCTCTCTGAAACAAATAAAAATATATTTTAAAAATAAAATAAGAGTATTATTGTTCCTAACTGCAGAGGTGCCAATGAAAGAGCTCATGAGATGAGGCTCTGAAGGTAGGCAGAAACTCACTTCAATCTGGGTTAAGCCAAACACTTTAAGCTTTATCCTAAAAATTAGAAAGAACCATTAGAAAATAATAAATGGGAGTTATATAATTATATTTGTGTCTAAGAACCATCACTCTGATATCAGTGCAGAATATATA